TGCTGCCGGGCAGGGCCCAGGCCCCCAGGCCTTCTCCAGCCCTGCCTCGCAGCCCTGACGCCGCTCCATCGCTTCCGCTGCCCGGGGTCTGCGGGCTGCTCGCACTCTCCCCACCGCCGGAGTGTACTTACCATGCGAACTGCTCTCTCTCCATTTTGCTCTCACTCAGGAACCCCAAACCACTGTGATCCACAGCCCTGACGGAAACAAGGTACGCAGAGGGGGCAGCCTCTCGCTCCCGTCACACCCTCCTCCGCACAAAGTGACTTAGCTGCCGGAATGGGGGGAGCCTGCCCGCTCCCACCACGCTCCCCGTGCCTGACGACCCAGCTGCACCCTCTCTCAGAACAGGCAAAGAATGACACCCTGAGAGACGCGGGGCCGCTAGTCACTAAACGTCGACAGAGCATCCTTCTGTCCAGACGACTGTGTCCCGTCCCCCCGCCCCCCCATTGCACTGACGTGTGTCTGCATGGAAGTTAGGGTTTCTTGCTGTGTCATTCCTGTCTTTGGAGCTCGGGTTCTTAGGCACTTGTTCAGGTGTAATGTTGCTTTGAGTTCATTTACTCTGTTGTTACAGTGGTTTTTCCTTGAATTCCCGGTTGGTGGTGTTTTTGTGGTTTGGCATGAATTTGCAGAGAATCAGGGAGTTCACTTGGGAAACGTGTTTTTGTGGAACTACATGTGTGTCAGCAGCAGGCGTGTGACTGGTTGTGCTGAGAGGAGCCTGGCGTGTCCATCCGCGGTGACCTGTCCGCACGGTGTCCTCCCTGCGTGTGAGCCGTGTGCACGCCTGGGGAGGGAGACGGCCTGAGCAGGCGCTGGGGCCAGCTGCGTCCTCACGCACGGCTGTGGCTGCGGAGGGAGGAACCCGTCCTCCCACTTCCACAGGCGAGGCCTGGTCTGTGTGCTCACTGTGAGCAGCGACGGTGACATCAGAACACACTTTCTCTGGTTTAACATCGAGTGGGTCAGTGTTGAAGTCATTAGAGTAAAGACCATCATGTGCCTCCTTCTCTGTGATGAGGCGTATTTGTAGTCATGACACCGAAATGGTCTAAGGCAGCGATTTCCCACCGTTTCCCTCCCACGGCACCCACACTGGCTGCTCGCTCTGCGCGCAGTGTTCGGTTCACTCACACCGACGCCGGTGCTGTCATTTTTCTGTTTCACAGTCTAAAGGCTGAACAGTCAGGTGTTTTCAACATCCTTGCGGCGCGCGGGTGGGAAATCGCTGCCCTCAGTCCCTCACACCTGGAGCCCCGAGGAGTGTCCCACGCGAGCCCGAGGTTCGCAGGGCCGCCAGCCAGCCAGGCCA